AATTACAAATTACTGGCTTAAGTCTTTACTTTTATAGTTCACAAACATTTTAAGTACTTTTCCTTATATGTATTTAAAGCCAAATCAAGTGATGGCACTTTTAAGTTAGGAAAGTTACACAAAATACTAGAGACTGGATATAGACTTTTTTTTTCTGTTCTTACAACGATCATTATATCATGATTATTTATTACGTATTTTATGTTAATTCATAGTTTTAGTAGTTTTCCTACAAGTTTCTATTAACATATTCAATCGGAATATTTTAAGGAATCAGTAAATTTGTTTTATTCTATTTTTGGCACAGTTAATCCATTGCAAAGAGGACTTAGGCAATTTCTCATGTTTCTTTATGATATTTGATATATATTTAATATGTGATATATTTGAATATTTTATCCGTTTAATAAATTTTATTACATTATATATTTATGAAACAATTGATATGATATTTAACTACTTTACTTGATGTGATATTTGGCTTGTTTAATTGATTACCTTAAATGATTATAATTGTGAATAGTGTGTAGTGTATAATATTTGGTATTTTGAATAAATTTTGATTTAGTAAATTTTACCTTATATTTAATGACATTTACATTTGGTTTTTGTTTTGTGAACATTCCTTTTCTGTTTTCTCTTTATTGGATTCAAACATTTATAGACAGTGGCGCCAATTTCTTTTGAAGATATATGAATATAGCATATAATATAATATAGTACGTTAAGTTTTGGATTAGATATTGCACACTACATACAGCGCTAAAATCGGCAACATTACCTCTCCAATTTTCTTTTTTAAGTGCCGTCTCCCAATCGGAGGTTAGATATTATCATCACTATATTTACTTTATCTACTGCTCAGCTGCTCTAAAGAGTTCTATAGAACTGCATTTAAACCAGTCCCTTAAATTCTTCAACCTTGACACTCTCCTTCTTCATATTCTCTTTCCTCCTTTTATCTTTCCCTGTATTATCAGCCTTAGCAGTTCATTTGCTATATTATTTGCTATAATTTGCAATAATAAAGAACCTGCATGCTGATGTGTCCAATTTGTTGATTTTACAGAGGTATCATCTGTGTAAGGAGTATCCAGTGAACAGATTTGTGATAACTCTTACTTTAGTTTACGGAAGATCTAAGAATATTTTCACATAGCGTGCAAGAGTTTGTAATAAACTTTTGTTGTCCTTCGCCTGAATCATTTTTCCAGTAAGCTGCACCGAGTCCCTTTTTTCAGATCATTTTCGGACATCTTCAACAACGCCACGTTTTATAACACTGCAAAATTGTTGTAGTCCGATAGAAAAAAGTATTAGTTTTTCCTTATGCAAAATTATTATTAATCTTGTTACCAGAAATTTCATTATTACCTGTTGTCCATAATACAGTTGTTACTATGTTGATTTTTATAATTGCTTAAAATATTGTTTGTAGATCCAAGTTATTACGGACGCACTGTTTACCAACTTTAGATTGTAAATCTAACGGCCAAATAGGGTGCATTTTATTTCAGATTATACTCCTACAAATGTTCTGATGAGAGTTAAATAACTCGAAACACTTGTAAAATATTAGTGTACTTCGTAGATTTTAACATATTTTCCTTAATATGTTTTTTCTGGCTGAACTGTAAAAATGTATTTTCGGAATAAAAGGATATTTCTAACATCGTCCAATAGCTTCCAGCAAGCTTGGATTTGCAGTTAGCTTATTGCGATATCGAAGAGAAGTCTTCTGATTTCTTGTTGCTACGTGTAGAAGTCACTACTAAAGTACATATTATGTTACCATAACGGCTAAATATATTGCGTTTTATTTCAGTTTAAACTTTTTACTTGTGTCCATATTAGCTCTCTAGGGTTAAGTTGACAATGATATGAAGGTAAAGAAGTAGTTATTCAACGATCTTTGTCTTTTTCATTGATTACATATTTGTTATGTTTCTGTTTGTGTTATTAAACAATATTTATGTTTTTTTAAACATCGGAATATCAAATGTTTTTTTTTTCCTTTTTTTAACAAATTAAGTGCCTCATGCAATTTTTCACGAGAAATTTAGTAGTTTTTTAATTAAACGAGACTGGTAACTGGCATTATCCATTACTATAACGGAATTTTGTGGTATCTTGCTAACCATCTTAAAGGAATATTCATACAATATGTCTGCAGTTAATTTCCTCATAAAAATCTTGGGTGGTTCTTGAGGTAAATTTGAATAAACCACCATTTACAAGCCTAGTGTTTATCATTTCGCATTCTTTGCCCATTTCTCGCAATACTTCCGTGTTAGTTTTCTTCTGTGTCCATGCTATTCTAAGCATCCTCCTGCAACACCACATTTCAAATTACTGTAACTTATTTATGTGTCCTCGCTTCAATGTCCAGCTTTCAAATCCATGTTGCAGTATCGAAAACAATTAGCATCTCAGTGCTCTTGCTTTAAGTCCTAATCTAAGATCTTTGTTGCAGAGAACTGTTTTCATTTTTACAAATGCATTTTTTGCTATTTCTATCCTAGCTCTTATTTCGGTTGTTTGATCATTATTGTCTGAAATCCAGGTCCTTGGTATTTTTATTTATCAACCCTTTCTATCGGTACATTTCCCAAATGTGTGTTTGTTGGTATATTTGTTTTCTTTGTTATTATCATGTATTTGGTCTTTTTTATATATATTTTAGTCCATATTTTTTACAGAAACTGTTTTCTTTAGCAGTAATTGGAGTTGTTCAGCAGAGCTTGCCATAATCACGGTGTCATCTGTATATCTTATGTTGTTAATAGATCTTCCGTTAATTATTATTCCTTCACTTTAAGATAGTAATGCTTCTTCAAAAATGGCTTCACTATATACATTAAATGGTAAAGGGGACATAATACATCCCTGCCTAACTCCCTCTTCTGATTTTAATTTGTGAACAGGGTTCGTTATCTATTACGATTTGTGCTCTTTGATTTCAGTAGAGGATTGTTTTATTTCGTATGTTCCTATGGTCTATATTTTTTGTCTTTAAAATTTGGATTAATTTTTCATATCTTACTTTGTCAAATGCTTATTCAAAATCATCGTAACAAACATGCACATCAACATTCATATTCATGCATCTTTGAGCTAACACATTAAAAGCAAATAACGCTTCTCTGGTTCACAGTCCGTTTCTGAACATAAACTGACTATCATCTATTCCTTCTTAGAGTTTCTTATTTATACGACCATGTATTATTTTTGGAAATAATTTGAGAATGTGACTTGTTAGTGATATTGTTCTGTATTCACTGCTATATTTAGTGTTTATATTTTTAGGGATAGAACAAAAGGTGGAGAGTAACCATTGTTTTGGTGTATGTCCTCTTTTGTATACTGAGTTAAATAAGTCTACTATATTGTCAAAGGTTTCATCATTCATGCATTTTAAGATTTCCATAGGGATTTGGTCTAAACCTAATGCTTTACCATTTTTGCTGTTTTTAATGCCATTTTAATTTCCTCTTTTAATATCTTTAAAACCATATCCTCTTCTACTTCTATTGCCATCTATTCTGTTCTATTATATTTGAACAGTTCATTGATGTATTTTGTCGATCTCTTTAATTTGTCGTTAGTATTCAACATAAGTTTCCATTTTGCATCTTTCAGTATTCCCGGTTTTCTTGTTCTATTGTTGTGATTTAATTCTTTTTTTTTATGTCTGTCAAAACTATCATCTACTACTCTCTAATCTACTTAATTGTAATTCTTTAGCTCCATCCGACACGAAGACAGAAAACGAGAAAACCATTTAGTAATACATAAAAATGCATGACACATACGCCTCCATTCGTGGATTTTTCTTTTTAAGACGTATGCCTGGTTTATTTCTTATAAACATCATCATCATCATATTTGGCTCGACAATCCTCTGTGGATCTTGGCCTGCTCTAAGATTCGTCGCCATTCTGTTTGGTTTTTGGCAACATGTTGCCATCTTCTGATTTTTAATATTCGTAAGTCGCGGTCGGCCTTTGCTTCTTTGATAACCACAGGTGTTCCTGTGTTTATCAAAGATCTGATCTGATCTGGCTCATCAAAGAGCTGATACAATTCAAAATTATATCTTCTGCGCCACTGCCTTTGGTCCAAATATTTTGCGGAGTATTTTACGCTCAAATATTCCCAAAAGTCTTTCATCTTTCTGCGTTAGAGTCCATGTTTCTGCTCCATATGTGAGGACCGACCTCAGCAATGTTTTGTATATAATAATAATATACAATATTATTATAAGTTCTTATAAACATAAACTCTATAAAATACACTGACCTTTATAGGGCGGTGCATTTGTATCGGTTGTTACTAATGTGAACACGTTCTTGTGGTTAAATTAAAAATAAATGCGCATTCCTTTAAAAACATAAAACTAAAAATATACTCTTATTGAAAATGAAAAAAATTCATAATAAAATACGAAATAATTATTTATGCCCAACAGAAATGATTCTAATTATTTTGCTATAATTGTCATACTAGCTGATGCGTTTTGATTTAGTTCCAGTCTTCTTAGAAGTCTCTCTGATAACAAGCGTTGATTGAATAACCCAAATTTGGGTTATTCAATCAACGTAACAAGTCGATACAGAAACAAGTGTGACAGAATGGTAAGAGACTCGAATTTAATCCAAACGCAACTGTATAATATTTCCACATAGTTTCGTAAGCTTTTAATACCAAAGAAGACAGTCAGTACTTGACGATTGCTTGCCAATCTTGGGCAACATTTACCTTTCCAATAATCTTTGTTATTTTATTTATATGCATGGGAATTAGTGTATTAGTAAGTAATCTGGGAATTCCTGAACAGGTCTTGTTAAATACCCCATAGATAGAGTTTCTGAAGGTAGTCGAGTAAAAAGGAGGATAAATTAGGATAGGTAATAAAAAAAAACAATTTCCATAAACTCATAGAGTAGCTATCATGTTAAAGATAACATGACAGAAGCACGTAAATCAGTAAAACATAAAAATTACAATGTTATCTTTATTATCTGTATCATACAGTATTATAAACATCAATTTACCATAAGATAATTATCTATGACGTTTTTATTTTAAGCACTAAAAAAATTAAAAATAAATTCTCTTAAAACAGAAAACGAAAAAAAGCTTTTACATTATTTCGATAATCGTATCCATTTTCGATCAGTTTTTGGCGTATGGTGAGTCACTGTTGGTGTCCAAATAATATGCACCGGAAGCCCTAAAAATATACACATAAAATAAGTAACCGAATACAAAAAAAAATAAAGATTTGGTTACCAAATAAATAAAATGTTCATAATATTATTAAACAAAATTAAAAAACTGAAAAAGGTTTTATAGTTACATAAATCTTAAAATCATTCAAATCATTCAATTTTCTTCTTATTTAGATATCATCTCATGAATAGAGGCTGACGGTGACTTTTACACATTCGTTCATTTTTTAGCTATTATTTATAATGGGACGTTCCAAAGCTCACACAATATTTTAAATTGCCGCCATTTATTATGCAGTTAAGTTTAAAAAGTAAACAAACAGTTTGAAAGTTGACAGTTGAATGACAGATAATGATAATTTGGTGGCCACAGTTCAAAATAAATTTCATATCACATATGATCAGAATATTGATTTAACTTCGTCAACTGTCAAAAGAGTACCTAATTGAAAAGTTAGAAAGACTGGATTAATTGATGACGCTAAATACACTGACCGTCCAAAAATAACCCGCTAAAATGTCAATATCGAGGCAGTGCTGAGAGTGTGTTTCTACAGCGAATATTCACTGAATATCTCCATATCCATACTTACAAAGTTTAATTAACACAAAAACTGAAGCCTAATGTCCATGCACAGCAAAGAAAGTTGGTTCAACGGATTATTCAACATCAACAAATGGATGCTGGTTTTTCGACCAAAATCACCTTAAGCGATCAATCATGTTCCCCTTAATTGTAACGACGTGCATTGACAGCTATCATCACCAGCTTACCACACTTTATATTATACGCACTTCCACCGCAAGTTCCACTTCTATCGATGCACGCTACAGGAGAAAGAAGGCCAACAACGGTATAAAACAGCACACGCCACAAGATAGAATTGGATGGAGCGTGGTAGAGTGACTGCTGTTTTAACTCGAGTTAGTATAAAATGTTAGCCCCAAACGTATTTCTTAGGAGTAAATAATATTACTCACTTACAAATACACAGATCTCAAATCTTCCTAAACGTCCGTCCTAAGTAGCCGAATTTACTTTTTCCAAACGCCAATTTGCTAGTTTTAATTATATCTGCTTCTGTGTGAGCATCACTCAAATTCATCCTAGTATATACCTCCTTGTTGGTGAAGCTGTGGTCCCATATTCGCTGGATCAGTAATACTATGGACCAGTTTTGAGAAAGCGTATACTAATTCATCGAATAACGAATTATGATTGTACAGAGTATACCTGATTGGAAGTGTGTGCCATATTCGATATTCAAGCTCTGGCCGATTCCTGTGAGAGCCCTGAGTCGCACACTAATATAGCTACTAGCCTTTCAGGTCTGAAACTCCTTAAGACTACACACCCTTTCAAGTTCCTGGAAACTTTAGTTTGAGAATAAGCGCAGTTTTCCAAATTTTTAGTGGTTAGTAAGTATTGTTTCCCAATAATCCAGTTAATTTCACTACATCAGTCCAGATGGTTCTCGGTGTATATGGTTACATATAGAAGGATCCTGACTATCTTTTGGGTGGATTGGGTTAGGAATGTTAATGTGTTAAGATGAAAAAAAAGCAAAATAAACTAAACAGACAGAAAAAAAGCAAATCTGAAATATCTGACATACAGTTCGTAGATAAAATTAGGGGATAAATCAAGCTTATGTGTGGCCATGATAATTGCCAACCTCAATAACAGAGATCCAAGAACTCATGAAGAATAAAAGGGATATGTTGGTCTTCAGTTTATATACTTTTACCTTTTATCAATGTAATATCCGCCCATAGTAGAGTATTCTTCAGAGCAATCATCAGATTGAAAATCACCATAACTGTCGCATTTCGTTGCAATAAATCCCCCAGATTTTATAGATTCTGCAAAGTATTTATAAGATCTTCCATGTGCACATGTACCTTTAATAAAAATAATAATAATTTAGTACATTATAATATCATAGTTATAAAAAAAACATATAAAAAAACAAAGAAAGTAACCTAAATAAAGTTAGGCAGACGCATCACGTCCAAATTTGGATAGAACCACATTGCATCAGTCTTCTTCAAGTGCCATCTTCGTTCCGAAGGTTGGCGATCATCAGGGCTATACGTATTTTCGAAACTGCTGACCGAAACAATTCGTTGTTGCTACAACTATACCATTCCCGTAGATTCTTTAGCCAGGAGTTTCGTCTTCTTCCTATGGACCTTTTCCCTGCTATTTTCCCTTGCATAATTATTCAAGGCCTCTTTTTATTATCTTTCGCCTCTTGTAATGTGTCCCAAGTATTGCAGTTTTCGTTTTTTGATCGTAAATATGACTTCCTTTTCTTTATTCATTCTTCTCAAGACCTCGACATTTGTGACTCTCTCGGCTCATGATATTCTCAGGATTCTGCGATACATCCAAAGTTCAAATGCCTCTAATTTTTTGATATCAATATTTTTCAACGTCCATGACTCCATTCCGTAGAACAGCACAAAAAATACGTAACATCTCATCAGGCGAAGTTTCATTTCAAGGCTCAAATCTCTTCCGCAGAACACTCTCTCTTTGTTTAGAATATGGATCTGGCTTTTTCTATTCTTATTTTGATTTCTGCTAAGCTATCGTTGTCTTCATTTATAAAAGTGCTTAAATATTTGTATTTGCTAACTCTATCGATAATTTCATTGTGTAAATATAAATTTTGGACATTTTGTGTTGATTTCGATATTACCATAAATTTAGTTTTCTTTATGTTCAAAGATAGTCCATATCCTTCGCTGCAGTCTGCTATCTTGTTCACCAATGTCTGTAGCTCTTCAAGTGTTTCTGCGATCAGAACGGTGTCGTCGGCAAATCTCAGATTGTTTAATCTAACACCATTTATTTTAATACCTACGAATTGCTCAGAGAGTGTTCTATTCATTACGTCTTCGGCATAGAGATTAAACAGGGTTGGTGACAGTATACACCCTTGTCTCACACCTCGCTTTATTTCAATTTTTTTCAGTGGTATTATTCTCTACTCTCACTACTGCTTTCTGATTGTAGTCTTCTTTGTCAACCATTTTCGATTCACTCCTGAATGTAGGTCTCTCCCAATTGCTTCCATCTTTCTCTATCTTGCGCCAATCTAATCCACTGTTTGCCTGCCACTGCTCTTATGTCATCTACACATCTTTTTTGAGGTCTTGCCATGCTTCTTGTTGTCATCCTTGGTCTCCATTATAGAATTCTCCGTGTCCACCTGTTGTCATTATATCGGGCTACGTAACCTGCCCAGCGCCATTTCATTTTTGTAATTTCTTTCACAATATCCGTAATCTTCGTTCTACGTCTTATCTCGGTGTTCTCGTGTGCTGATTGTAGTACATATTTGCTATTAGTCGAATGTCTCGTTTATCAAAATTCTTTTCTGTCAGAAGTCTTATTAGGTGATCATGCCGTACTTTATCAAATGCCTTGTTGTAATCTACGAAACACATGAATACATCTTGATTTATGTCAAGACATCTTTGAGACATAACGTTCAGTGCAAACAATGCCTCTCTTGTTCCGAGTCCATTTCGGAATCCAGACTGGGTATTATTGATGTCCATTTCCAGTTTTCTGTGTACGCTAGAGTGTATAATTTTCAGGAATATTTTCAGTACATGGCTCATCAGACTGATCGTACGGTAATCACTACATTGTTTGGCATTTATCTTTTTTGGTATAATAGCAAAGGTGGATAAAAGCCATTTTTGTGGTATTTTTCCTGATGTATAAATGCTGTTGAAAATTTCAACTAAAATGTGAATCGAGTCTTTTTCTATTAGTTTAAGGATTTCCGTTGGTATTTCATCTGGACCTGGAGCTTTACCATTTTTCATTCTTTTTAGTGCGTACATTACTTCCTCTTCCGTTATTTCTGGACCTTCGTCTCCTTGTATATTACTTAGCTCAGATTGTTGTCTATCATCTACAAAGAGTTCTTCAATAAAGTTTTTCCATGTCTTTAACTGTTTTATAGTTCTGTTATTATGTTTCCGTTGACATTATACAGGGTATTTGGCTGCTTACGTTTTTGTGTACCTGCAAGTTCTTTCACTTTTTATATACATTAAAAATATCACGTTTTGCCTACAATTGCTCTATTTCTTTACATTTTCCTTTATAAAAATCTTCTTTTGCTATTCTGATTTCTATTTTGATTTTTTTCTGTATTTGTTTATACCTTTGTTCGTTTTTTCTTTCATTATTCTCCGATTGTCCATGAGAACAAGGGTCTTATCAGTCATCCACCTTTTCTTTATTTTTGGTTTTTCTTTAGTCAAAATTTTCTTCGCAGGACCTGTTATTATTTTTACGTTTTGTCATTTTTTTATCTATGTTGTTCGTTGGCTGAGATGTTTCTTTTTTATGAAGTATTTTCAAATTATTATTAATACATTTTTGCAGTTTCTCCGTTACCTCCAGGTTACATAAATGACTGACGTCTATGTGATTTGCTCTTCTTTTCTGATTGCATCAGTGATGACACGAAAAACCTTAGATTAAAATCGCTCAAGAATCACTACATTGCTACCTTCTACAGTTCCCCACAATTAAATCCTTTATATCCAGATGGGCCGGATGATTGCTTTATACAGAGTATAAAGTATAGTCAATATGTAACAAAATATTATGCAATATTTTGTTACATATTGATAAGGTAAATTTACAGCCGAGTAACCAGTAGTCTTCCTCTTCTTAAAGTGCCCTCTCCTCAATAGAGGTTAGCTACTAAAATTTTAAACTCTTCTCTATCTTCAGCTGTTCTTATTAGATGTTCAAAATTTAGCCCTGTCCATTGTCGGATGTTTCTGAGCCACGATAGTCTTTTCCTTCTAGGCCTCTCTTTCCCTCGATTTTTCCTTTCAGTATAAGTTGGGCATATTGGTACTTATTATTTCTCAGTATGTGGCCTAGGTGTGATGTTTTACTAACTTTTACTGTGTTAAAAAGTTTTCTTTCCTTGCCTATTCTATGCAGCACTTCTTCGTTTGAGGTATGCGATGTCCATAAAATTTTGTAAACGTTGTAAACGAAATGTACCCAGTAGTGTTTTTTAAATTTTACTCTTAATTGCTTCGTCTTCATCTAGATGTGTGTTCTCTATGTTAGCCCCTAATCAAGGTGTTATCCAAAATATTTTAAAGCGTTATTTTTAAAAATATTATTGTTATTATTGTTATGCATTAGAATATTTGGTGTTCCACTGTGACGCTGTGACACTTAGCCCATATTTCAATTAAGAGTATGTTTTGTTATAATATTTAGCTGCTTGTATAGGATCTGGGTTTTTCACCAGAATTTCAGCGAATGTTACGATTGTGGATTCTTCTACAGTTAGAAAATCAGCTGTAAATATTGTGTAAAGAATTGGTCCCAAGACGCTGCCTTGCAAGACTCATGCGTTTATGTTGTGGATGTTAGACATACTTTCTTCGTATCTTGAATAAAATAGTTTTTCTTCGTGGTTAGGTAAGATTTTATTGTCGTGTGTAATGGGTGAGAGATTACTTTATTCAGTGTGAGTGGTAAAAATTTGATTAAGTTTGTAATCAAATTTATTAGCTATGGCCGGAATTTTCCTCGACTTCACTACGTATTTAACTTTTTTGCTTTATTTTTCTTTGTAATTGATACAATTTTTAGCAACTTCTGTTTTTCTAGTATTTACTCTTGTAAATTTTGAACTTGTGCTAATAAAAAATTATAGATATAATTGGTTATAAAAATAATTAGAAAAAAATGTATTTGCAGAATAAATTAAAGAAGAAGAAAAACGATCTAATGCAACATATCGAAAAGGTATCCAAGAAGAGGTCTTCTTCTCTGAAAATAAAAGAAATCGTAAAATTTTAAACATGATTTTCAAAAAAATTCTTAAATATACACAAATATGTCAACAAAAATAATCATAGAAATTGTTTCAAAAGGAAAACTAAGGTGGCACTGAAGGAGGCAATTATTTATTACGATAACGAAAGATAAATCTGTCTTGGTCAATATATTCAATATAGTCAAAAAAAGTTAAAAGATGATGCATGGGTCAAATAAGTGAGACGTGAGACTGTGCACATAGCACCAGAAGACTGTAAACGGAAAATGATAACCCTTTTGGTATGCTTTGGGCGCGAAGAGATGAAACACATGAAAGTAAATAGTTTGTTTATGCTGCCACGCGATTTCTTGAAGATCTGGATATTTAGCGATAAAACACAACACGCTTGCTCTTGTATACAGACAGAGTATAGATGCATGGATTTGCTCGCGCCAGTAGCCACGTCAATCTTGTTTGCACGCCAGTGATCAGAGTATATTGGCACGCCAGTTTCAAGTTTGCACAGTGGAATATTGTCGTCTTGGTCTTCTTTAAAAAAATATATATTATAACATGAAAATCGGTGGTACTACGTTAATCTGTCATTATTAAAGAACAACTGTGGGGGACAATTAAGAGAAGGACAATGATTGGTATTATGGCACTGACAATAATAGTCAGTAAACCTGTTCCTATAGTTAATGAGGTGTTTACAAACTAAAGTCCATAAATTATTGTGCTTTATTTTATTTAAAATTGTAGGCAAATAAATAAACTTCTCCAAGAAATTAACGCACCATCTTAAAAATGGGACATTTTTGATGGCTCGTCGAACAAAACAACGCAATTTGTAGGCCGCTTAACTGTTTATACATGCCATTTTATTTTACTGGTACTGCATCAACTTCTGGCGCCAGCAAATCTATGCGTGTATATACTCGCCCTTACTCCGAACTTTGCAAAAATTGATTGGTAGTTGGTACGTCGCTTTCCATAGATCGTGACGAGTTTGCGATGAGATCGCTGTAAACATATTTTTAACGACCTGTCCATGAACAGTCTGGCTCGCATCTATGTTCTAAAATGCTCGCTACTAAATTTTTCTTTTTTTGCAAATGCTAGACTGTAGTCATATTGTATCTATTATAACGTTTCAAATATTGTTTAGTTTCTCACCTAACACATCCAACCAACAACCTGGTTGCTCCCTTCCACCGTTAGGGTAATAATCGGAATGTCCAATATTGAAATAGACGCCAAGTAAACCGGCACAAGTGTGAATCACCTGAACAAACTTAGCATCCGTGGCATCCAATCTGTAGTCCTCGTGAATCATTAAAAATAAAGGTAATGCAGGATCCAAACCTAAAAAATTTGGCATAAATTGTAATGTACTACAAATTAAACGTGATAAAATTTTAAAAAATCATAGAATTTGATGAAAATGAGAATGAAAGAAAAGCTTATAATGTTGTTGTCCAAGGACTACCGATAAATACAAATAACCCAAGACCTAAATCAGGCCATGACTAGTTCCATGGAAAAAAATTAGGAATTAAAGTAAAAATAGAAGTGGCTTACAAATTGGTTGACAAAACACGTTTTGTTATAACAGAAGGTAGAATAACAAACTAAGAACAAAGAAGGTAGAAATATACGTTAATAACGATCTTATAAATACGGAAAATGTAAAAATTAGAATCGAGCTGGCTATCAAAACATAATCAGTGGTGGGAAAATAAGTAAATAAAACAAAGAAAAAAAAAGTTGAAAAAAGTAAATCAAAGCTCATCAAAACACTGATAAATAAGAAATATAAGAAGTCACAAAAATGGAATACGAAAATGGTAAAGAAGAATAGCGTGAGTAGACAAGAAAAAATAACTATATACACAAATAGAAAAAATCATGGTAAAAAATGAAAAAATGCGATCAAGTAAGACTGAAAATGCTGTTCAAAAAGAAAAAAATAAAATGTATGAGAAATTTGAATAAAAAATTAAATCTCTATTGAAACAAAACTTAAAACTGGTAATGGGAAGTTATAACACCTGGGTCAGGAAGATTACATTTACCAAACAGCAGGTAAAAACACATTATATGAAAAAATTAGCTTAAATAGATCAGATAGACTAGATCAAAAACATAGCTCCTTCTTCTTATTCCTTCTTGTATGTAGGCTTTAAAGCCTGTTTCTTGCTCAATATTTGCCTCCTAAATTGTTTAAATTATAGCACCATCTTTTCCTTGGTCTGCCAATACTTCTTCGTCCATTTGGTAACTTATCTGGTGCTATTCGTACTATCCTATCCTCTGCCATTCTACTCATGTGCTCGTTCCACTCCTGTTTCCGTTTTGTCACCCATCCATTTATCTTTTCTATATTGCATTGCTCTCATGTTTTCGCTTCTCTCCCTATCCGACAGACTTTTCTCTGATATTCGTCGGAGTATTTTCATCTCTGTTGTTTCTAGTAGTCGTCTCGTTTTAGATGTGTCAGCTTTTGGTCCTCAGCTCGGTGTACAGAAAACAAAAAGGCGGAGTAGTTTTAAATACTAGATCAATCTGCAACTTAGACTAGAATATGCTGGTGTCTGATCGGCCTATGGTGGAGCAGTACGACAAGAGATAAGGGCTTGCGGCTCGGTGATACTCCTCCATAGATCCCTACTGGAAGGGCGTGACGCCTAAAATACCGGGTGTATATATGTTTCTTTTATACAGTAGATGTAAGACGCCTTTGATTTGAATGCGATCGAAAGCCTTTGTCAGGTCTATAAAATATAGATATGCTCGTTTATTGTACTCGATGACCCTGTGATTTGTCTTACAAATCTGTACTACAAATAGTACAAATATGGCGTCTACGCAGAATCTTCTGGTTCTGACTTCTTGTTGTTCATCTGATAAAGTTGTTAGTTTATTGATTTTGTTGGTTAGGACTTTTGTGGTAAGCTTAAGTGCTGTGTTCAGTAGATTTATACCTCTATAATTGTTGGGGTTTTTTATCTCCTTTCTTGAACATTTATATCATTATGCTGATTCTCCATGCGTCTAGTATCTTGCAGTGCAATATTAGTTTTTGCATACGTTTTGTCATCTCTAAGGTTATACTTAGTCCTCCGTGTTTTAGAATCTCGTTGGTTATTCCGTCTGGTCCTGGTGACTTTCTATTTTTGAGCGAATTTATGGCTATTTCTACTTCCTGAAAACTGATTTCTATTTCGTGTCTTAATTCAGGTACGTTATTGTGTTGATTATTATTTTCCTTTGCTGTAAACAGTTCTGTCAGGTGTCTTTCCCATTCGTTTGCTGGTATGTTAATGTATTCCTTCAATTCTGTCATTTCGTTCCGTTGGTTTTTTTATAAATATCCATATTTGTTTTTGTGTACCGTAGAAGTTGCTTTCCATCCTTTTTGTAATATGTTCTCAGTGTTCCTTTTTTGTTTTTTTACCAACTGCTTTGTTGCATTTCGTATTCTTCTATAGTTGTCTTGGGATTCTGGGGCATTAGATGGTTTGTACTTTGTGTATGCCTCTCGTTTCTCTTTATATTTTATTTTTATTTCTTTTCTGAACCATGGTGAATTGGTACATTTCTCATGTTTCAGAGTGATTTTACATTGAATTTTTCCTCGGTGATTTCCTGTAGAAAATTTTGTTTGGTATTATTTTCATTCTTATCTTTGCTAGTACTAGTTTGTGTTCACTCCCTGCGTCTGCTGAGTTTAAAGTTTGGATATCTAGAATTTTCTTTTGGTGAATTTTTTTATTATATTGGTTATCATTATTGGAATTACCCCAGTTTTGAAGAGGGACGACAAAGACTGATTAAACCACTCAAGTGGGTTACGAAGTCATGCTGTTCTGTTTCGGTCAGGACCCCTCTCTTTATATATTTTGCATAGAACAATAAGATGTAGAACTAAATTACATTCTGGATGTCACATACAGTGGCAAATTACTGCACTCGTCATATTTTTACCTTCTTTACTATATATATATATATATATATATATATATATATATATATATATATTATAATATATATATATATATATATATATATATTTGTATAGCTAATGTTTTTATATTTACATATTTGTATGTTATATGGTCTTCTTCTTCTTTCAGTGCCTATTCGCTCCGAATATTGGCAATCATTCTGGCTATAATCACTTTGTTAACTGCTGCTTTAAATAAATTCGTTGTTGTTGTGGAGAACCATTTTCTCAGGTTCTTCAACCATGATATTCTCCTTCTCCCAATTCCTCGCTTTCCGAATACTTTACCCTGTAGGATTACCTTCAGTAATCTGTATTTAGTGCTGTTTCTCATTATATGTCCGAGATATTCCAACTTTCTCCTTTTAATGGTATGCATCACCTCTCTTTCTTTGCCCACTCTTCGTAATACGGTCTCGTTGGTTATCTTGTCTGTCCATGATATCCTTAGAATTCGCCTGTATAGCCACATCTCGAAGGCTTTTTTCTCCATTGCTTCAGTTAGTGTCCAGGATTCAACTCCGTAATACAATATTGAGAAGATATAACATCGCAGGAGCCTTACTTTTATCTCCAGATTAAGATTGTGGCTTTTAAATAGTTTGGCCATGTTATTAAATGCACTCCTAGCCTTCTCTATTCTACCTTTTATTTCCTGTGAGTGATCCCATTGTTCATTTACTGTTGTTCCAAGATAGTTATACTATTTTACTCGGTCCACTGGTGTATTATTGATAAGTAGTTGAGCGTCTCTAACTTTATTTTTGCTGATGATCATAAATTTAGTTTTTGTTATATTTACTTGAAGTCCAAATCTTTCACTTACTTCATTTACTTTGTTTATTAGTTGCTGTAAACTGTTCAAACTGTCTGCAAAAATAACGGTGTCGTCTGCATAACGGATGTTGTTTAGGCGTTCTCCATTTAGAAGTATTCCATGTTCGCATTTTTCCAAGGCTTCACTAAATATTTCCTCTGAATATAGATTAAATAATATAGGTGAAAGTATACAACCTTGTCTAACGCCTCGTAGAATCTGGATCATTTCCGTTGGTTCACCTCCAAAATTCGTTCTTATTGTGGCTGATTGGTTCCAGTATAAATTTTGTATTATACGCCGATCTTTATCATCCATTTGGGCTTTTGTTAGAATATCCATCATTTTTTGGTGTTGAACTGTATCAAATGCTTTTTGGTAGTTCACAAAGCAGGTGTAAATATCGCAAGTCATATCTCTGCATCTTTGAAATAATACTTGTAGACTAAACAGTGCATCTCTTGTACCTACGCCTTTCATGAATCCAAACTGTTTGTCTTGTATTCTCTCTTCGCATAGCTTGTATATTCTACGATGTATAATTTTAAGAAAAAGTTTTAATGTATGGCTCATTAGACTTATTAGCCTATATTCTCCGCACTTTTTTGCTCCCTGTTTCTTTGGTTAGGTAATAAATTCTGAAAGTAGCCAATCTTTTGGGATATTGCCTGTGTCATAGATATTATTGAAGATTTTACATAGTACTCTTAAAGATTCATCATCAAGAAGTTTAAGAAATTCAGATTGTACTCCGTCTGGTCCTGGAGCTCTACCTTCTTTTAGTGATATTATGGCTGCTCTTATTTCTGCCACTAGTATAGGTGGTTCTGTTTCCGTAGGTATTGGGGGCTGGTTCTCTCTCTCATCAAAAAATAAATTTCTTATTTCCAGGTATCATTGATACTCTCTTTGTCCACGATTATCTCTCCATTGTCATTAACAAGTTTACTTACTCTTCTGTTTTTACATTTACCTGTAATTTCTCTTACCTTCTTATGCACGTTGAAGTCGTCGTATTTACTTTGGAGAATTTCGATTTCTTGGCATTTTTTCTCCAGTTCGTTCTGTTTGGCTTCTCTGATCTTACTCTGTATCTCTCGCTGTAATGTTTTATACATGGAGTTATCGTTCTTGTTTTTCCTTCTTTCTTCCATTAGTTGCAGAATCTCTGTCGTCATCCATGTCTTATTCTTACCTTCTTCGTTCTTCATAAAATTGTCTTTAATGTCGTCTATTGTTTTCTTAAGGGATTCTACCTTATCTTCTGTGCTTTTCGTTGTATTATCGATTTCTTTAAATTTTCTATTTAATGTTTTGCTGACTATTTCTTTTACTTCGCTACATTTCAATTTTCTCATGTCATGTTTTTTTTACAGTTTTTCCGAGTATTTTCTTTAACTTAGTTCTATACACGCCCACTAAAGGATTGTGGTCAGATTAAATATCAGCGCCTGGGTAGGTTTTAACACTGTTGAAACTATTTCGATATCTTTTGTTAACAAGCATATAGTCTATTTGATTTCTAATACTAACGTCTTCTCCGTTGTCTCTAGGTGATTTCCACGTATACAGGCGTCTAGGAGGTAGTTTATAAAATGTGTTTAGCACGATTAAGTCATGCTCAGCTGCAAAGATACTCATTGTTTCTCCGCGTTGATTTCTCTCTCCTAATCCATGTGGACCAATATGTTGCCCTTCTTTTCCGTTACCTATTTTTGCATTGAAATCTCCCATGATTATAAGGAGTTCGTGTCTCGGTATATTATATGGTAATAAGTTTTTACTTACCTACAATATAGTCAACTTTTCCACCAAGAGCAAGACCTACTATTCCTGCAACGTGAGCTCCCAAGGAATGTCCCACTATAGCTGTTCTATCCAAGTCTAAATTATTATTTTTCACCAGAGATTGAACATATTTTCCAACAATCTCCCCAACTCCGCCGACGGCTGAGGCTGCATTTACGTACAGATCGTCCGCTAAGCTGCTCCAGTCAACAACGAAAACGTTGACGTCATGTTTGCTGAGATAAGCTTCAGTTAGTACGTTGTTTACATTGGAATCGTATTCGTTTCGCCAGCCATGGATGAGGAATATCGTAAACTGTGTAGAAATGAAATTAATTATTAATATAAATATTACACGACCAAATACAAAGATAAAAAATTTTGTTTAAAATCCTTTATAAAAGGTATATAAAAATGCCTCAAACGGGCTATCACAAACACATTGCAAAACGTTTTCGGATTAAACAATCCATCATCAGTGCAAACGGTTGTACATGCTAGTAGCCACCAAAATATATGGGTAAAAACCCTTTAAATGTTTTAAATTTGAAGTTGTTTTACATTATTAGTATTTATAATTTGTGATGGTTAAGTTACCGTTGGATAGGTAACATGGCGGCGTATGACTCTACATGAGTAAAATGGTCCTGAGACGAACTGTCTACGAGGACCTGTTGATAGCAACTCGTCCTCGTAGTCACTTCGTCTCAGGACCATTTTACTCATGTAGAGTCATACGCCGCCATGTTACCTATCCAACGGTAACTTAACCATCACAAATTATAAATACTAATAATGTAAAACAACTTCAAATTTTAAACATTTAAAGGGTTTTTACCCATATATTTTGGTGGCTACTAGCATGTACAACCGTTTGCACTGATGATGGATTGTTTAATCTGAAAACGTTTTACAATGTGTTTGTGATAGCCCGTTTGGGGCATTTTTATATACCTTTTATAAAGGATTTTAAACAAAATTTTTTTGTGATATATGGTATACAGCCAGCTACAGGAACTTAGTTTCCTCGTGGAATTTTAAATACAAAGATGTTACTCCACATCTAAAGCTATATAATCAAACCCTCAGTTTTACAAATAATATCAGATTTTTAGGTATGGTTTTCGACCTAGAGCTGGTTGCAGGGGAAGAACTTAAAAAATCATGCCAAGCAGGATTAAATTTTATGAAAACAATTTCCAGCAAAAACTGGGGAGCAGATCAAAATACACTATTACATGTACACAAATCTTTAGTTATATCCAAACTAGGTGCGATAGTTTATTCATCAAGCAAAGTATCAGTACTGAGAACCTTAGAAACTGTTCAAAATACAGCTCTACGAATAGCTACAGGTACGTTTCTCGAACGACAGTAGTTGAAAGTTTACAAAGCTTAACCGGAGAACTACCCCTAAGTTTACGATGCAAATATCTTTCTGTCTCATATGCTTCTAAAATAGCTAGTAATAAAGAACACCCTACTTATACCAATACATTCACAGATCAATTTTAAGACACTTTCTTTACAACAAGACTAGATCCACCATTTTACGAAAGAGTTAGAAGAAACTTTCATGACCTGCATCTTAAAGTTCCTGAAATTCTCCCAACAAATTTCCTAACTTCCCCACCTTGGTCCAACTTTCAAGATTAATACTAACCTTGGTATATATAAAAAAAAGTGAGACTATAACAGACTTGATTAAACAATCATTCTTAATAGAAATGGAAACTTATAAAAATCACTATAAGATATACACTGACGCATCCAAATCTTTAGACGGTGTTGGTGCAGCCACCCTCACAGCCAAGACATCCTTAAAATTTAAATTCTATTTTATTACTTTGTCATACACTGCAGAGTTTTTTGCAATATTACAACCACTTATCCACATAAAAGAGTCGAAACAGTCCCTGTCTCTCATAATAACCGATTCACTAAGCTCACTTCACACTTTCAAATGTTTATATACCAATAAACCAATTGCCTAACATATCCAATCAGAAATAGAGATTATAAATAATAATAAGATCACTGTTGACTTAATATTTATTCGATCACACTCAGGTATACAAGAAAATAAAGAAGCAGTTATACTAGCCCGCTTAGTATCTTTCAACCAGGATTCCATCCTTATTAATGAGGTTTCTTCAGATGACTGCAAGTCAGAAATAAAATATAAAGTATTAAGTGCTTGGCAAAATGAGTGGAGTATATTACAAAATAAACTCAAGAAAATCAAACAATTAGTGAAACCGTAGTTCCAACCCATAGCGAATAGACACGACCAAGTGAGAATAACACGTTTGCGACTAGGACAGTAACTGTACACATAAACACTTCTTTACGCGAACTTTGCCGCTAATAAGTGAAAATTTTCAAGTAACACTCTCCGCGAAAAATATACTAACTCAGTGCGAAACATATGAAGCAGCAAAAAAGAAGCACACAATCCCAAATAATATAAAGGAAGCCTTAGGAAAAACATGAACATTAAAAACACAATAAGTTATCTTAAAGAGTCAGAACTATATCAATTATTGTAATGTTTCTAACTTTAATTGTATTATATTATTTAGGTCGCTAATAACCCTTGTGGTTACAGTGTAAATGAATAAAAAATAATAATTATATATTATATAAAGATGTCCAATAAAAGCAAAATAAAGTTAATAAACAAAAATCAAGACAATTAACTGAAAATAAAAATTTCTACTTTACTACAATACTTTAATGAATAAAGCGATGCCTTTATATATAATATCAATAAAACAAATCTTACCTTCTCTGTTGAGAAACCAAGTTGTTGTAATGAGCTTGTATCAGAAATATTCAACGCATTTTCATTGTCTAAATCGTTCTGATTTCTGAAGTATAGTAACACATCATCGCTAGAAACAGCTTTCATTTGTATCGGTTGGGTATAATCTTGAACTTTGTATAGCTCTGAAGAAGCATCTCTAACCATGGAAGCTGAAAAAATTAAAGATTTTATAATTTTAAATTATGAAATTAGCATTATCAACACATGCACATAATTTAAGCCAATGACATCAATTATATTATAAAGAACAAAAAAATGTCGTAATTCGAGAGTGACTTCCAGATATTGTTATTACAATACATTACAGAGTTTGACAGAGTAAGACTCAAATATGTAATTCGTCTTCTGTTTTATATAGAGAAGTTGCCCTACATATTATAAAAACCATCGAAAACATTTACTAAAGCAACAAACTGGAAGTCAAAAAAGATAGACAGCTTACAGAACCTATAGAATATAGGCAGCGAAATAAGACAAGGTGATTCATTGAGCCTCACGCTCTTGAAATTAATCATGGATGAAATCATCAAAAGCTTTAACAAAGGAAGATGATACAGAATGGGAAACAAAAAAAAAATTGGTTTCCCGATTCCATAGAATCAACAATGAAGTTTGAATACAAAATAAGATTTGTACAAGTAGATTTCTTTTGATAGAAACTATGTTGTTGACCGAGAATTAAATTTTTACAATCGTAGGTTAACATATGGTTAACAAAAAAATCAAGCAACTTTGGTAGTTCAGACTGCAAACAAACAGCCCTCTAATTTTCAACATTCTTATTTTGACCAGATTTAAGAATGGGTTTTAAAAAACTCACTTTCCAAAAATCAGGAAATGTAGAAGAAGTTAATGACTTATTGAATAATAACTGAATAGGTTTAGCAAGAGTGAATACACATTTTTTAATAAAATACATTGGTATACCATCTGGACCCGCTGTCAGTTTACACGGATTATACTGTATCTGATCAATAATATCCTTAACATTAATTAAATAATTATTAGCATTAACATAATTTTCGTACTTAAAATTAGGAATCTGATTTATTTTTCCTTTATTATAGACCGTCGAAAAGAACCCAGCAAATAAATTCACAATATCTGAACCATTTTCACTCCTTTCGTTACCATAACTCATACTCGATGGTAGAACATGAGATTTGCGTTTATTATTAATATATTTCCAGAAAGAACAAGAATTATGAAAAATGCTAGCCTCAATTTTATTCACATGACGCCTTTGTAAATACTTGCTAAGCTCCATACATTGTTCCCTGAGATCGGAAAAAAGACAATAGTTCTCATCACCACCAGTCATTTTAAATCTTTATGTGCTTTTTTCTTCTCATAAAGTAAATGTTTTAACTCTGATGTAAACAATTTGGGATATGTAGATGTTTTAAATCTTTCTAATGGTATAAACAATTCGATTAAATAAAATAAAATATCATAAAAATCTTTAACTACGTCCTTAATGCTTTTGTTAAGAAATAATAAATTCCAGTCAACTTCTGCTAAATAATAATTTAAAGCAACATAATCACCATTTTTAAAGTCAAAATAGTATTCTTTATAATTAAGGACAGATTCTTTTATATCAACAATTACGTCAAAATTGACTGGTGTATGATGAAATCCCTCCTCGAATAACGGATCCAGAGGTACAGAAACAGATATATCAGGAAAGCTAGAAAAAATTAAATCAAGAAAAACATTTCTCCGGTTGGATATCGTATTGACCTGGTATAAGTCACAAATATTAATGATATTACATATATCGTTAGCTGGTGAGTTTTGGTTAGCCTGTACCGTGGTACCATAAAGACTGTTAACCCAAACTACACCACTGTTATCCCCACAAATTATTTATTTACAACCCGGAATCTTATTATATATATATATATATATATATATATATATATATATATATATATATATATATATATATATATATATATATATATATATATATATATATATATATATTCAATACTATCACAGTGTTCTATATATACATGCCTATCAGATGCAGGAGGTAAATAAACACCACCAAATACGACAGTTTGACTTTGACACTTAAGTAAAACAAACATTTGCTCAACACTATTTTGAGGAACAAAAACCTCACACACTTCCAAATGTTTGGCCACAGCTACTAATACTCCTCAATAGACACAAAATAGAAAAAAAGACTGGAATAACCACATAAGAAGAATGGAGAAGGCCTGTGTCGTCAAAATAGCAAGAGATAAGTCACCAATCGGCAGAAGAAATATCGGACGACCACGCAAAAAATGGAGTGACAACCTTCCATAGTAGTGCAGAACTTTTTAGAGCGGCAGTCAACAGAGTCTACATAGCCATGATCATTTCCAACCTTCGATAGAAGATGGAACTTAAAGAAGAAGAACCTTCCATAGAGGTATTAATCCGCCAATGAACAATCAGAATTGCTTATAAAGAGGAAGAAAAAGAAGAAGAAGAATACATTACAATATGCTGTTTTAAGGCTTAATTTCTTAACGTTTATTTCAAACGTCAAGACGGGTACAGTAATAATACGTACGTAATACTTTAGTAGTCTAAGGAGCTAGGTGGTACGTAGCTACTTAGGCTACTAAATAAATTGCATCTTGAATTATTTTCACGTAGTTCCACATTTAATTCACGTACAATATTTAAAAATACTACTAACAACTAACACCGGAAAACAGCGGGAGAAGACAGAATATGTGCAGAACTTATAAAATGTGGTGGAGAGGAGAAGGAAATCTAAAATCAAAGGAAATCGAAAAAATCTGTTCGTTGCATTTATAAACTATGAGAAAGCCGTTGACAAAGTTAAACTTAACATTCTCATGAAATGTCTAAAGAGAAAAGGACTCAAGAAAAATGACATTAACATAGTGAGAAATCTGTATCGGAACCATAGGCTGTGGTAACATTCGATGGAAATAGCACGGATGCGCAACAGATAAGTAGAGGAGTGAGACAGGGCTGTGTACGTTTACCATTACTATTTATTATATATTGCCAAGAGTTATTTACACAAGCACTTGAAAACTGTACAGAAGGAATCAAGATAAATGGTGAAAATATAAATATCATCCCTTATGCTGACGATACAGTCATTATCGCTGAACCTGAGACAGACCTGCAGACGTTACTAAACACAATTTGTGATACTGGGGAACAGTTTGGTTTAACAATAAACATAAAGAAAACAAAAACCATGGTTATCAGGAAGAGGGGCAAAGTCATTACAAGAATCCAGATAAAAAATGAAGATATTAAGCAGGTGGACAAAATAAAATACTTAGGAGTCTGGATTACGGAAGATCTGAATTCGAAATCAGAAATTTGCTCAAGAATAGAGAAATCAAGAGCACCTTTTTTAATTATGAGGAAATTTCTGAGTATCCAAAGACTCAATCTGCAAATCCGATATTGGATGGTAAAATGTTAGATCCACTCTATTCTTCTTTATGTTGTCAAAGCCTTGACTGTTACGTACTGATAAGTACGAGTTGTTGAAGCTGATTATGAAGGGTAAAATCTAAGGAAAAAGGGGTCCTATCCATTACGAATGTTGGTGATCATCATGGTAATCTTTATCTAATCTGCGGCAGCGCGGAAAAGCTGCACAGATGTTGTATTGAAACAGATTCTGAAGTTATTTAACCAAGATGTTCTTCTTCTTCCTGGACCTCGCTTTCCAAATATTTTTCCTTGTTGGAAGGCTTAAAGAAGGGCATATCTGGATTTATTTCGCATAATATGTCCGAAGAATTGTAACTTTCCAGTGGTCAGTACCTCTCGGGTCTGATTCATTCTTCTGATGACCACCTTATTTGTCATTCTACAGAATATTAAGTATTCTCCGATGTAGCAACATCTCAACTGCTTCTAGTTTATTGCACATATCTTCGTTCAAGGTCCACAATTTAATATCATAAAAAGGACAGAGAAGACGTAGCATCTTACTTTTTTATCAAGAGAGAGGTTGTGACTCTTGAAAAAGGCTCCCATCCGATCTAGCTTTTCCAATGCGTGCTTTAATCTCCTGGTTATTCGTCTATTCTTTATTTATTATGGTGCCGAGGTAGTTGTAGCACGTCACTCTTTCTACAGGAGATTGATTGACGTAGAGTTGCCCTTTTGTTATCCTTTTCTAGCTAATTATCATAAGCTTTGTCTTCTTAACGTTTATATTGAGTCCATATGTTGACTGTGATATGTGATTTTGTTCATAAGAACTTGTAGGTCTTCTAAGTTGTCCGTAATTACTATGGTGTCATCTGCATATCTGATGTTGTTTAACGGGTAACCATTTAGTAGAACACCTTTTTCAGTTTCGTGCAAAGCTTTGATAAATATTCTTTCAGAGTACAGATTTAAAGATTAGAGGAGACAAAATACAGCCTTGCCTCACTCCACTCATGATTTTTATATAGTCAAGGTGTTCAACTTCAACTATGAAATTTGTTCTCTAATTCCAGTAAAGATTTCTAATTATTTTCAGATCTTGGTTGGTAATTCTGGCTTCGTTTAGTATTTGCATCATCTTGTCGTGCTGTACTCGATCAAACGCTTTCTCGCAATCAACCAGACATGCTTATATGTCGCAGTTGACGTCTCTGTTTCTCTGGAATAAGACTTGTACTGAAAACAAAGCCTCTTTGGCACCAACAGCATTTGTAAACCCGACTTGGTTGGGGGAAGTTTGACTTTCACAGAGCTTGTAGATTCTCTTATTAATTATCTTTAAGAACAATTTTAGGAGAAGTGATAAGTGATATAGTGATAATCCTAAAAAAAGAAGGCTATATAATATATAAAAATTATCAAGCAATTAATTTACTGAGTGTAACACATAAAATAGTGGTATAATTACAAAAAAACTACCAATATACCGGTTATTATTTGGCTATTAAATTTAGTTTAATTGTATATCGACTATATTATCTCAGGCATTAGCTTATATTACTAGAATGTGCAAGATATTGTAAGGTCAAAAAAATGAAGGAATATCAGCAATATCAACTTATGATAACTCATGATAACACACTAAACATTACCGAATAAAAAGAATAAAAAGAGGGACAACAGAGTTTAAAAAAGAGTAAAGTTTATATAAACATGAATGATTATTTGCAAAGAGCATTGGGCAACAATATGTGAAAAAAAGGACAATGAAACATGTATGTGTATAAAGATGATATTTTAAAGTAAAAATTATATTTATTCCTTACTTGGAGTTGCTGCGACACACGCAAAAATCGCACACAAGACAAGTACGTTGTTCATTCTTGATAGGAATTTATTAACTTGATTAATAATCATAGATCCTTATATATATACGTTTATTAAAAAATTTGAATATATTAAACAAAATAGAGATAAGATTGTTCAATTAGCAAAAAATTTGTTTGTTGTAATCCATAGAAGTTCTATTGACAATTTACCAAGTTAAAAAAGTTTAAAATTGTTAAAAGCATTTGAGATATTGTTTTTTATTCCGATCAGTCTTTTTTCTCTGGCTCTTCTTCTTCTTTTTCATTTGCTTCTCATATAAGGCCATAGGTCTGCTTTTGTCCGATTTTAACTGACTAACTTACACGACTGCAGTCGTGTAACGATATAATTCACCTACCACATTGAGTATCACTTATATGGAGTTAAAAGTGGATAATGAGCAAACACGGAGCTGAAAATCGGGTAAGCAAACAAACCAAAACGTTTACGAATGGCAACTCTTGTTTTGGTTGGAGAGATGTGTCGTAAGTAAGTGAATAAAGGAGGGACTGGAAGGGGCCAAAAAAAAGAAGTCAAAAATACAAAGTAAAAAGAAAGTAAATAATTTACAACTCGTGGTTTAGAGAGACACATTCATTCCATATTTATCATTACTTCACATTAACAGTTACTACAAATAATATTAACAAAATTTATTAACAAACCTTACAAGCTGGGCGACAGATGTAACAATTTTACAACTAGTTGTAACTATTTAAATAATTATTAGAAATGAAAATCATCCATGTTTTTCAACGAAGCTTATACTGAGGTTAACCTTTAAACAACACAGAATTCAAAATTATGGTTATGTACCAAATGTCAAAAAACGATAATACTGACTGTTGTATTTCTATATGGTATCACTGACTGTTATATTTCTTTTAAGAAAGTTTTTGGGATTGGAATTTAATCAAAAACACTGCAAGTAACACACAACTGTGTCCCACACAAACTGCAATTGGTCTGGGGTGACCATGGAACACGCAATGGACAAGTTCTAGGAGGTAGAATACTGATTCGGGCTTCGTAGTATCCTGAATGACAACAAACTGCACTCTTAAAAAAACTCGACCACTCACGCCCTTTTTAAAATCATGTGGACCTTTCAATTAATTGGAAACGTCGTCTCACAAATCCCTCACATAGGTCACAGCACTACCAATCTGATACTTCACTTCACTTTACATTACTGAATTCCCGCTAACAAATAAAGAAAAACCATTTGAAATTTAAAAAAGGAAAATCCGGACTAAACAATGACCTAACTCCTATCATGGTCCATTGTAGAGTCCTATCGTAATCTCTCCGTATCACTTTCCCACCAACCTAAGTAAATATTTATTTGATTCGCAATATTAAGCGAAATCAACATCAAAAGAAATACCAATGTAATTTGTGTTATTATAAACACAGACTAAAAATGTTTACATTATCGATCTCAGCTACGCAAAAAGGGTTGAGAACATTTTTCGGTGTTTTAATACATACAGAGGGATATCGAAATGCTTCAGTCGCATTTGTGATGGAATTATTTTAATAACTGTTGCTTTAAATAGATTAGTTTATTATTGCGATTATTTTCAGTAATTTTTATTTAGTGCTATATAACCACTAGAAATATCATCTTAGATTTAATCATTTTCAAATTATATATCTTGGCGGCACGTTTAAATGTTTAGAGCAGACATTGGCAAAGTACGACCCACAGTCAAAGTTTGGTCCTTTGGACTAATTGATCAGACCCACAACATATGATTTTAACTGTTTTTTAAAAGCCCGCATGATTTTACGCAATTTCTCGCGCTTTTAATAAGGATAAGCTCCTGAAATTTAGGCGGCATAAGAACCAACCAAAATATTTTGGGCAAATTGGTTAACAGATATGAAATGGATGTAGTAGCAATACAGGAAACTACACTTACAAACACAAGAAGATCAGGAGGCACAGCTATCCTAGTAAGAAAAGGGATCACAGCATAATACTAACACCACAGCTAAATACTATGGAAGTAAAAACAATCAAAGTTCATATGAGGGAAGGAGAATTCAGGATTACCTTCGCCTACGTAAGACCTAGTGGCCCATTATTAGATGACGACTTAAATGAGTTCCTAAACATAGCCGAACGATCAATAATTATAGGAGACCTAAATGTAAGATCTCCAAATTGAAATGATAAAGCTACAAACAGAAATGGAAGACTACTAAATAATTACATAGACAATAAAGACGACCCGCTGATCTAACACACTTTCCAGGAAGTGAACTTCCCACTCACATCGACATCGTAGTTGCTATAAACCTAGGGCTCCAAATGGAAATGTAGACAATAAACAACGGTAAAGCAGATCACGAACCCATACCACTAGAGTAAAAAACATGAGAGGAGAAAAGAACCATCAAAAAACGAATTAAAAAGAGGCGAGAATGGAGTTGTCTCCTCTATAGAGGAAAAAGTCGAGGTGATAAAACTACTCTTAAAAAAGTGTTTACGCCAAATTATCACCCAGATGAAGAAATAGATTTCATAGAAGAGGTCGAAGAACAACGAGAAAGGCCCAAGGAACCTAACGAAAACATCCCTCCAACATCGCCGGAGGAAATAAACGAACTAATTAAAAATAGTTCACCAAAGAAAGCACCTGGACTAGGCCAGATCACAAATAGGGCTTTGAAAGACAGTCGAGACAGCAATAGTATTCTTAACAAACATAGTTAATGGAATGGAATGGTATTGGCTGTTCCCAAATCGATGGAATGATGCCCATATCAATATAATACCAAAACCAGGCAAGGACAACACGTCCACACAAAACAACAGGCCGATAAGCTTACTTCCGGTAATCAGCAAGATTGTAGAGAGAGTCATCCTTAGCAGACTACTAGCAGAAACTGACAGGGGCACAATTTGTATTTCGATTATAATATAACGCACGAAATCTAAGAGAATAAGAGTAGAGATAGAGTAGAGCAATGACAAGACTAATCTCTTTGTACTTAAGCAACGGGAGCTTTAGAGTTCGAAAGGACAAGTCCTGTTTAACCTTGTAACAAGACCGGAGTGCCACAGGAGACGATCCTGTCCGCACTCATCATCATCCAGCCTCTATTTATCACGTCCACTGCTGGACATAGGCCTCCCTTAAACTCCTCCATTCCTCACGATTTTGTGCTCTTTGTTGCCAATTTTTAGTGATACGCCTGATGTCGTCGGCCCAACGTGTAGGTGGTCTTCCTCTACTGCATTTGTCTGCTCTTGGCCTCCAATTTTTAATTTTGCTCGTCCATCGTGAATCGTGCATTCTCGCTACATGCTGCCCAGTTCCATTTTAGTTCCGCTATGCGTTCCACAACATCAGTAATACTCGTCCTTCTTCGCAGATCTTCGTTTCTTATTCGGTCCCTCAACGTCACTCCCAGCATAGACCGTTCCATTCGTCTCTGTGCCACTCTCAGTTTCGAAGCCGTGGTCTTGGTTAAAGTCATAGTTTCCGCCCCATAGGTCATGAGCGGTAATACGCATTGGTCAAACACTTTTCTTTTGAGGCTGATTGGTATGTTGGCCCTAAGTGTGTCTCGCAGTTTTCCAAAGGCTGCCCATGTTAAAGTAATTTGTCTTTGGATCTCACATGTTTGGTTATCCCTGCTGATTCTTATTTCATGGCCCAAATACGTATATTTCTCCACCTGTTCTACCACTTTGTCTTGAATAGTCAAATGGTTATTGGAGACCAAATTTGTCATAAACTTAGTTTTGGTCAAGTTCATTCTCAGGCCCATCTTCGAACATGCAAAATTCAATTCGTTTAACATATCTGTAGCTTCTCCTAAATTATCTGTGATAAGGACAATGTCATCTGCGAAACGGAGATGGTTAAGCTTTTCGCCGTCTATCGTTACTCCTCTGTGGTTACTCTGCTGTGATTTATCATCTTAAAGGCATATTCTAATGCCGTTATGAATAATTTCGACGACAATGTATCTCCTTGCCTTATTCCACAATTTATTTTTATTGGTCGGGTTTTATTGTCTATTTTAACAGTCATAGTGGCATTTTTGTAAATATTATAAATAAGCTCGCTATACCTATGGTCAATCCTGCTGTCATTCATTGCTTCTATAAGGCTGTCTAATTCGATCGTGTTGAAAGCTTTATGAAAATCTATGAAAGTGCGAACAAGAGGTTTGTTATATTCTATAGATTTTTCAATGAGTGTCTTTACTGTGTGGAAGTGATCATTGGTACCATAATTTGAGCGGAATCCTGCCTGCTCTCTCGGTTGGTAGAAATCTAATTTTTTCTCCCATCATGATGTCACTACCCTAGTGAAGAGCTTGTATATGTGGTTCAACAGGTTAATAGGTCTATAATTTTCTAGGTCCGTTCTATCTCCTTTTTTATGCAAAAGACTGGTTGTAGCATTGTTCCACTCTTTGGGCACCTCTCTTTGCTGCAAACATAGATTGAATAGTTTCCTTAATTTATTTAATAGCATATCTCCTCCATTTACGATAGCTTCTATTACGATTCCATCCTCTCCTGTCCGCACTACTGTACACAATATACACTATCGGTATTACGAGAACACCAGGAACTTTTTTCTTCTTAGAGTGCCGCCTCTAATCTAATCGATTTGCATTGTTACCAATTACGGAACTTCACTCAACCTTTATACTGACGACACAGCAATAGCAATTAAATATAGATATAGAAGTAAGTAAGGCTGCGAATAGTGTGGCTGCGTTGGGAAGGCTGATACCCAAAATTGGGGGACCCAAATCCGAAAGGATGAGGGTCCTACACGGTGTTGTACAGTAGATCGTCCTCTACGTGGCACCAATCTTGAGCGAGGCGGTAGAGATAATGGCCTATAGAAGGCTTAAGACACAAGTGGACAGAACAAGTCTGTTGCAAGTGGCATGCGCCTACCGGACTGCAGCCTTGTAAATCATCACTAAATGTGTTCCGTTGCATGTTTTGGCGGTGAAAAGAAAAGAGTTCTATGAGAAAAGC